ATATTTTTTTCGTGGGTACCATAAACATAATTTGGAAGCTGCTGCCCTAAAGGTCATTACGCTTTGTGCTGCAGATCAGAGTACAATTTGGGGCCTGCCTGGAGGAGAGATGAAGATAAATGAATGAGGGGATGCCTGTTAAGAAAAGGCTGATCAAGAAGGAACTATCCTAAACCTGCACTTAAATTTGCAAGGCAAGAAAGAGCATTATGACGGAAGGATTCACACAAATTGTACCATCTTAAGTAAGGAAACGAACTTCTTCCTCTTGCAGAGTTCTTCCTTTGCCTTGGGTCTGAAATAACAGCCCTGGATATTGTTTAGATCTACCAACTGAACAGATTCACTGAGCCTTGGTATAAAATTCAGTAGTATCTGAAAGAGGATAACTTGAGGATTTTATCAGCAAAGCCTCACAAGATGCTATTTCTTTTTTCCCTTACAGGGAAAGAATTAAAAACCTAATACTTATCTATCTTCTGATATTAGCCAGTATTAGTGTCATATAAATTTTAGCTGGAAAGGAAGTTAGAAATGTCCTTGGCACATGGAACCAGAGAATAAATATTGATTCAAGGAACTTGCAATTGAATCTAGCTCAATATCCTCATTTTTTTGCAGATGAGGAAGCTAAACCAAAGGCTTGTGCAATCCCAATATTATAATGATGTTACTCTTGGCTTATATTTACCACGGATTCCAATAGTTATTGTCAATGGGTTGCTTATGGATAAAGAAAAAGATAATGCAACTGTACACTATTCATTCCCCCACTCAATGGCATATTCCTTGTGGGCTGGGATCATGCCATACATCTCTGTATTCTCCTTAGTGTCTACTGTGGTTGGGTAAATTAAATAAGATAATACCTGCAATGCACTCAGCAGAGTGCCCACCACACAGTAATAGCTAAGTAAATGCTTCTATATTTGCTTTTGTTGTTTTGATTATAATATGAGCACTATACTAGAATGTTATAGGAAATTCTTAATATCTGTTGTTTTTCATTGCAAAATACAATGAAATAAAATCATAAAGTATGCCCTTAAAATTAATTATTTGAAGGGACATTCAAAAAATTACAGAGATTTTTATCTGCTTAAGACACTTTAAATAAATGAATAAAGATAAAAGAATTCCAATTAGTTAAAAATTACCCAGAAAAGTTCTTCTTATAGCATATGAAAAGTCAATAGACCTGGGATTTGTGATTTGTAAAGATAATCTTTCTAATGATAATATAAAGCCTTATATAATACGAAGTTAAGTTCATTTTTCCTTAGGTAAAAATCAAACATAAAAATTACATGACCACTGTAGTTTGGGGCTTGGTGTCCATATCAGTGGGCAAATCCTAAATCCAAAAAGCAGAATGTTACTTCCTTTAGATCTTCCAGAGGGAAAGAATATCAAAATACTAAAAGAAATTAATCACAGTCTGTTTTTTCTGATGATTCCAACAACGTTAAAGATTTTTTTCTTCATATCTTACAAGCTCTACAGCACCTTTCCCCCCTGCTACTTTTGTATTGCATAATTAGAAGATAATTATGTGCTCTCTCACACTGGAAAGACTATTCTTTTATTAATGACTCTATGAAAAGTTCTTCATTATTTATCTTTAAAAGTGAGTTTGAAATTAAAAGGCTTATATGACTTTTCCTGTCTTTCTTTTTAACTTAGGAGATCTTAAAAGTAATACAAGAGATGATTATGGATGTCATAGGTAGTCCTAAGTTTTCCACCATCAGAATAAGAAATAGGATTTGGGAAACAAATGTTGCATCTTCCATTCTCTCCAGATTAAATGCTTGGGGTTTTGAAGAACATGCATGCAACAAAATATTGATGTTCGAAAAATGGCTCTCTATTCCTTGCCTTTTCCCCTGGTTAGGACCAATAGAAAATGGGTCAGAACAAAAAAGCTTCCTGAATCTAATACAAAGACAGAAGGAGAATATAATTCACATTTGTAGTAAGTACAATGTAGGTTTCAAATTAGTCTTAAAAAGGGAGTTTACCCAGCCCCTCATTTGTAATCAGTTCTGGAAGGTACCATTCATCTCTGCTGAGGCCATGCAAGCCTTGTTACTATTTTGGGCTGACTGCTTTTTGTCTAACATTAGGCTTATCTGAGCACTCCAGATTGGATATGGGCAATTGTAAGTGAGGGTATACATTATTGCAAATTTTAATCATTTCTCAAGCCATTTTGCTTCCAGTGGTAATCCCATAAGACCAACATATCTTTCATAAGAAACACAAACAGCTTTTGGCTGAGAGCAGCTCCTGAGTTACTTCATAACCTATTCCTGGGTTATTTCTTGATGTTGCATTTGTGGCTGGGACCACCAAATCAGGGCTCCAATGGCTTCTTGGCTCATGGTGGTCACAATCACCTTATTCAAGATGGACATGTGGATAATAAAACCAATGATTAAAATAATGATTCAAGTTCTTCTTAATAATGTTGCTCCTATTTATGCATAGTGAAAACTACCTCTGTCTAACACCTCAACTGTGGACAAACTAATATTGCGCCCAGAGCTATCGCAAGAATTTTTCTTATCTCCTACGCTTTTTGCACCATTACAGTGGAAATGGCAGAGCAATAATAACCTGATGACCTTGAAAACTTTGCTTCTTTTTTGGCATCAGGGAAATTTGCCCAAATTGTTTTGTGTTCCAAATATAATTACACATTTTTGCCTAGCCATTTGGAATGCCACGATGCTCCCTTAGTTGAAAATGTCTAAGTAGCTCCATTTTCATAAGCAATATTTTTCTTGTGAAGGAAAAAAAAGGATAATAATTTATTTTAATTGTACTCAGGAAGCTCTTTCGTTTACGCCTTCTCCTCTTCTCTTATACATGATGATTTTTGTAAGTGGGAATCACAGACTCTTAGAATTGGAAGAGATCTTAAAAGTAATTTAATGCAAACACCTACTGTTGCATGAATCCTCTCTACAATGTCTTAAATGAGGTCCTCCATTACCAGCTATTCTCCAAATCAAGAGATAAAAGATAAAAGTCAAGATAAAAATAGAAAGTACTATCCACTATAGGTGGAATAATGTCTTACAACTGAAACAAACTACAGGGTGTAGATGTGGTTTTCCCTATTCATGAGTCTTCAGTCCCTCATCCATTTTGTTTTATTACATCAGGAAGAATTTGTGAAGCAGAGACTCAATTTTCAGTTTGGATCATTGAGCTTATAGCCAACAGGCCAACAGGGAGTGAAACAGCACTTCTAAAAAAATATTTTCCATGAGAATTTAGATGGCATGGTCTTGACCTTTTCATTTCAATGATCCAGAAAGTTAAAGATATTTTTAAAGGTCGACCTTATATGAAAGTAACTATAGGAAACTTTTATCACTATTACTCAAGAATAAATTAATTATTAATATCTAGTACAAAATACAGGCTAAGAGATTAGATTTTGGAATGGGACTGTGTATTTTGAACCCTGGCTTCCCAATTAATTAGCTATATGTCCTTGGGAAGTCACTTAACTTGGTTGTGGTTTACTCATCTGTGAAAAGGAGATAATAATATTATCTTCTTCACTGGGCTATTTAGAGGATTAAATGAGCTAATTCATGTAAAGCACTCTGTTTAATATATGGCATATGTTTTAAATGTACAATAAATGTTAGCTTTCCTTTGTTCACTAAAGTAGTAAAAACAGAATTTAGCTGTAGGGAGCTCATAATTTTTTTATTTGTTTCAGAATCTCAAACCTTTAGTGAATTTCCATGAGTCCTATTTTGAACCAAAAATTAATAATGTTAGGGAAAAAATGTCATAGTATAAATAGCTTTTCAGGAAATTTTATATTGTTAGAGTTAATATGGACTGTACCATGTGCTAACTCAGTGAATAAAATAATTATTAAAAATAACCGATCATGCACTCAATGTATTTTGGAAAAGTATGCCAACATTTAGCTAACAAGTTATAGTCAAGAATAATTTGGCAAAGTATGTTTTTATTTATGCTCTTTGAAAGTTAGTCACTTCTGTGTATGTATGATTAGTCAATGCGTTAGAGACATTACTTGGCAGACTGCATTATGTATCTAGATGCTATTATAAAATAATTCTTTTTGAATGTGTCCAGACAAGGTTACAATATGATATATGTTAAATAATATCATAAATTAATCAATCTCTAGTTTTATTTTACTTTTTATAGAACATCTCCTTATACCATCATTCTGTTCTATTCCTCAGTTATCCAACTCTAATCAATAGTCTGCTTTCCCGCAAAGAAAAAAAACAAACCAAGATAAAACCCTCATTCACTAATTCAACAAAGAATTCAAATTCTTCCAGTCTAGAATATCCATGTAGCTAATTAGGAAATCAAAGAATAAAGCTATTTTTCACTTCTCTTTTCATCCCCCAGAGGTTGGTCATTTCAAAAATGAAATACCTCATTGTCTTAAGAGTATTTATTTTTGTATTGATCCTGAGATTCTGAAATTCCTCTCAGTAACCCATTACAATGATTGTGAACTATTAACTACTTAATGATCCAGAAATCAGGAAGATCAAAATAATTACTTTCATAAAACAAAGAAAACCTTAGTTGGAAAATTTTATTATGAGTAATATATAAAATAAATTTTTCCCAGAATTTATTCAGATTACCATACATCAGAAGGATAAGGGATTGAGGTCACCTTCCTAGAATTTAACATGCATCGTTGAGGTAGGGGGAGTTCACATTACTCTCAGTATCACACGAAGGAACAGTGTTTCTTTATTTATCAGATAACATGACAGTGGATGGTAATTTTTAGAAAATGTTGTTCTGAGTGAAATAAAAATGTTCTATGAAAAAATAAATTAAGGGAAAAATGGGAAACAAACATACTATGCAAAGCTATACTCTCTCATTCTACAACCACCACTTAAAGAGATACACACATGCTCCCATTCTCTATTAATTCAGAGACATTTTGCTTTCCCAAGCTGGCTGTCACTTACCCTAGTTGTTTTCACTTTATTCCCAGATGAACAGCTCCATCCTTTCCGATCTGGAAGAACTTTACATTCCTCCCCCTCTAGACAAGGTTGCATATGGCACCACCATTTCTGTTCCACTATGGAAGCTACAAGAGAGAATAATCAACTCAATGTTTTATATTTTGGACTATTAGTTCTTCAGGAGCATATTTAAAGAAGAACAAAAGCCACTGATTTTTCCTACCACTAGGAAGACTGGAATTTGAGGCATGCTTCTTTTTTGTTGTTCAAAAAGACCAAACCTTTCAAAATTTTCTAACTAAAAGAATTTTTCTTTTTTTTAAAATTGTATTTTATTGTGGTGAGAACACTTAAAATGAGATCCATCTTTCTAACAAAATTTTAAGTATACAATTCAGTATTTTTAACTATAAGTGCAATGTTGAAGGATTTTTCATGTGAAAATATAGGCTTTACGAAAACTAATACATTGAAAAGAAACTATGTGAACACGTGTATGCACCAATTTATATAAGCATATAAAAAATGGGCCTGTGACGTACTGAGAGTCAATATTTTATAATCAATATGATATTTTCGATCAGTAGGCTGAAAATCAGAAGGGTGTTTTTTAGAGTTAACACATTATTTTTTTACCATGAGCCATAACCTCATCACAAGGAATACACCATGCTAATATGAGCACTTAAATTACTATTTATGGTAACAGCAATTAAATAAATCCATGTAAAGATCTATATTCTATTATAACTAGGTGAACCCTCAAAGAAAGAAATAATATTTTGATGCATCTTCATGAAAATAGATATTTTATGTGAATTCTATCCACAACTAAACATTCACTTGTATATATGGTATTGATTTTTTTCATTTAAGAACATCCATTGGTTTAGGAACCTATACTATTAAATCATATACTTTCATCTTTCCTTTCCCAATTAATTTATACATACCTCTCCCCCCATCATCCACCAGGAAATCAATACTTCATGGCATCAAAATAAGCACATTGACTTAATGGAACCTCATTATAATTCCTTTTGTAACAAAACTGCATAAAATTTTAAATTTCAAAATGCCCTCCAAATAATCCCATTTCAGCCATGTGATTTACAGTGTGGTCTCCCAGGATTGACCCCAGTTGATGGCATTATAGTGAGGTTCCAGTGCTAAGCAGTCCCCAGTTGTGCTATCACAATGAGCAATGGAAGTCGCACCATCCACACAAGATGGAGCAGCTCGAGTGGTGCCTGCCACCTGCCCGGGGAAGCAGGAACACTTGACTGTTTGTGACCGTTCTTCTATCTTGTTCTTATTACAGCATCTGTGGAGTGCCACCACCTCGCAAGTTCCCGTTTTAACATGGTGAGCTGCACAAACAAAAACAAAAGATAACATTGAGAAAGCTTTGGACACTCTCCCACCCTTTTAAATGAGAAGTACATTAAATATAGCTCTGGCAGTGATCCACCATGCATGAAACTAGAAATACAATGATGCTAACTCCGTAATGCAGATTTGATTTCTTTTCTAAATGTGGTAGGAACATTTCTGTCCGTAAATGCTTGGTGAAGCAGGAACAATCAGTGACTAGATTAGAATGAGCTGTTAAAACAGTCTGATATAGAGGCAATATGTGATGCCATCAAAAACATATTTATTTGCATATGACTTTTTGTTCAATGTGTTAATCAAAGAAAAGTAAACCCCTGGACAAGGTGCCATGCAATGGGGCTGAGGCCAGCCTTATTCTCAAAGCAGATGGGTACTAATAAGTTTATGTTCTTCTTGGGGCAGGAAATGTGAGGGCCAGGCAGGGAAGCCCCTCTCAGGAAGTTAGAGGAAGAGGACATCTACATCCTCAGTACTTTTCTGCCCACTTTCCCTGGAAATGAACTAATTGACTGATTATTAAAATTGCCGTCACGTTTCTGGAAGTTCCAGCCAGTCTCAGAACCCAGGATCATTCCTTTCAATATTGCCTGAAAGAACAACTGTCACCAAACTGTATCATGAACTTGGATGAATTTATATCTGGCAACCAGTTGCCTGGAAACCCAGTCCAATAATCTGCCAGGCTCTCATACCCATTTTGTCAACCTTTAAGGAAGGTTACTGAGCTTTAGGGGATTTATGAAAATTTTGAACCTCATTTATCACATTATGACAGGGGTTGATCCTCATTATTTTCTTTTTTTAGCATTTCTTTGTCATAATAGTAACTCTATTGTGAAATGATAAAACAAGTTTTATCTGCTAAAATTAAAACCTTAAAATCAAACATTTGTTGAAACTTTATGCTCTCAGAAATTTTAAAATTTTGATTGATATGAAAGAAATTTAAAGAGAAAAGTAGGAAATCTGAAGTTGTTTAATGGCATAAACATATTGAGACCCATTGCAAATGAGATCAACACATCATGCATTTATATTAATCTTTCTGCTTGGAGAGGAGAGGAACCAGTGCACAGTAATCCAGGCTAGATAGCTTGCTTAGATTTTTCCAAGGAAATCACACATATTGTCCACCTCTTATCCCTCCATGTGAGACCAAGAAACTCAGGTGTAACATACAGCTTTCACATGTAATCCTCCAAAGAACTTTCAAGAGGCAGATACCACGCCCAAGGTCATAAAGATGTTTCTGCCACTGTAGACATAAATGGGCATGTTCTGTGTTTGATTCAAATTTAAATCTATCTCTATGAAAGCTAAAAAATCAGGAGCCAGATTTCTGTTCCTACCCTCTTGTGCTCTGAAAAATATTTTCTTACCTAAGGATGAGTCAGTTTGCTTTATTTTACTGAATGCTTTATATTATAGTATACAAGCTAATATTCTGCCTTCTACATTCTACTTCACTTAGTCACATTTTAAATGAATATCACACATCAGGCATGATTCTGAGTAGTAGAAATACAGCAATGAATAAAAAGAACACAGTCTATCCCTGCCCTCAAAGAGCTTATATAATAAAACAAATAATAAACATCCAAGTTAATGATTAAGACAATGTTAGGTTTTTTAAAACTCCTTGAAGACAGTACAGTAGAGTAATCGAGCAGGGATGAAATGTATATTTTTCAAGAGTTTCAAGGAAGGTCTGTCTGAGGAGGTAACATGAATGGTGAGCTGAAAGATGAGAAGGAAGCATCCAATTTAGATCTAATAAAGGAAGAACATTCCAAACAGAAGAAGCAGCAAATGATAAGGGACTGAAACAGGAAAAAGTGTGGTGTTTTCCCTGGACAGCAATGGCCAGGGTGGCTGGACAATTGAGAGGTTGAGGGAAATGTGTCCGAAACGTAAGCTGATTATGTAGGGGCTGGTACACTACAGTAAGGAGATAGGATTTTATTCTCCTTGCAAAGGGAAGCCTTTGGGTGGAAATGGTGTCATCTCATCTATGCTTTAGAAGTTTACTCAGGCTGCTCTTTAGAGATTGTATTGAAGAAGGTAAGAATGGAGCCCCGTTATGAAGAGGTCGCAGGAGTCTGGATTATAAGGGAGGGAGCTTAGACTAGATAACAGCAACAGAGATGGGGAGAAGTAGCAGGTCAAGGATATTTCAGGATAGACCTGGTTTGATTTACCAACGGATTGAATGTGGTCTGTGAGGGAAAGCAGAATCAAGGATTACTCTTAAGCTTAGACTGAGCAATTAGAAGTTGGTGGTTCTGACAGACACAGAAGGCCTGGGGAAAGAAGAAGTTGGCAGAAGATCGGTGAGTTTAGGAAATCTGTCTGTACTTCTGTTTGGGCCATGTTAAGGATGAGATCCTTATAAGACACCCAAGTGTCTTGTAAAGGGAAAGTGCACAAAATGAAGGAATAGAAGACCAAAAAATAAAATTTTCCCAAAGGAGAAATTGATCAGCTGTGTCAAATTCTGTTGAATGGTCTAATTAAAAGAAGAGAGAAAATTGTCCATTAGAAAAGTAATACATCCCAGAAAAACCCTCTATAAAACCCAAGACTCTCCATTTTTCCCTCGTGGATGCCTTTTTCAGCCTCCACCAAACTGCACCCAGATGCTCAAAATAAACACCCAGAAAAGCAGGGATGGTTCAACATATGCAAATCTATAAACGTAATTCACCACATAAACAGAAGCAAAAACAAAAACCATATGATTCTCTCAATAGATGCAGAAAAAGCATTTGACAAAATTCAACACCCTTTTATGATAAGAACGCTTAACAAAATAGGCATA